GACAAGAGTCACCTCCAGGTTAGTTATCCAAATAGCAGGGTTGGGATAAAGTGTGCAAAAAGCTCTTCCAACTCCTTAAGGTAATTGCTCCAGTACTCATGAACAATTTGTCATCAAATTAAACAAACAAAAAACACTGTTTAAAGTGCTGAGAAGCCAGGTCTTAACGTAAAAATGGACCCAGGTGAAATGTGGTCCCAGCTTTGGCACAGCTGTTTTGGACCAAAGTACTACTCAACCTCCCCAAGTCTCAGCTGCCTCAGCTGCGACACTGTACAGAGATCAGCCAGTACCTGTACTGCATTAGCATCTACATTCTGTCTAGTCATCCAAATGAACAAGGGAGCCAACTCCTGGAAAGAGCTGACTGTTGGAAATTACACACACACTCTGCCTGCCTCAGACATCTTCATGAGCTCAAACATCACTCACAAAAACACCTGACAGGGAGTGCTTGGGTGGCTCAGTAGGTTAAGCATCTGACTCTTGATTTTAGCTCAGGTCATGATCTCAGGGTTGTAGGATCGAACCCTGGGTCCGGCTCTTCGTTCAGCACAGAGTCTGCTTGTCCCTCTCCCTCTGCTCCTCCCCCCACCCTTGCTCTCTCAAATAAATAAATAAAATATTTAAGGGGGGGGGGAAAAAGAACACCTGACAGCTAGGAAAACAGCAAAACAGCCAGAAGTCAAATACGCAAATTCTTCAGTTATCTGGTGTCCTTCAACATCAAAGTTATCAAGAAATCACCAAATGGTAATCTATACATCCAGTAAAGCAGCCTCTTCCACCTTAGCATCCAGCAAAACAGGTAGCTATTTAACATGCCCTCCTTCTAATCCTAGCCCACAGGAGTTCATGCACTGATCTCATATTTATCAATGTCCTAATCCCTCTGGGACACTTTGTCCAGTACTAAGGACGAAAGATAAGAGCCTGGACCAAAGACGACAGACCTATAAATAATATAAGACAATAATATCAGTTGGATATATATACTTAACATCTATTACGTGCTAGTCCAGCAGTTCTCAAAATGTGGTCCCTGAATCCGTAGGGGTCCCCAAGAAACTTTCAGGGGTTCTGCAAGGTCAAAACTACTTGCATTGCAATACGAGGACTTTCTTGTGCCTTTTCGCTGTGTTAACAGCTGCTGTCATGGTGCAAATGCAATGGGGAGTAAATCTGCTGAACCCTTTACACAAAGCCAGGGAGTGACACCAAACTGTACCAGTAGTTATTCCATTTTTCACCTCACGCACTCAAAGGAGAGGTTAAAAAAAAAAAAAAGGGCTCAGTTTCACTTACGAATGCCCTTAATGAAGCAGTAAAGATTATTAGTTTTATTAAAGCTCTAGCCTTGAGTGAGTATCTTTTTAATATTCTGTGTGATGAAATGGGAAGTATTTCAATGGTCGCCTCAAGGAAAAGCACCTAAGTAATTGTTTGTGGATTGTAAGCCAACCTAGCCACTTTTTTCATAGGATATAAGTCTAAACTGAAAGAACAAATGATAAACCATGGCTATTCAGGCTTGTGTATTTGTTAATTTTTGAGAAAATATTTGACAAAGGAAGCCTTAAATTACTTCAAATACTTAAGGCCAATGATAAAATCTGAGCTTTCCCCAAAAGTCAGAACTCTGGAAAACTCCTATCTGCCATCACAATCTTAAAACTTCCCAATAATTAAAACACTTCTCTGATGAGATCAGTGATGAATCAAATGTAATTTTAGATAAATAGATAGATGACATACGTCAACATTAGGAAGATCTGCATAACTTAGTAAACCAGTATTTTCCAAATGATCCAAGCATGGTGTTATAAAATCTTGCTTGGGTAAAATATCCACCTCAGGTACAAAGTAGATTAATAAATTTTAATGTAACAGAACAAATGGTTCCAGATTCCACACTGCAACTAATCTTTAATAAACTGTCACCTGTCAAGTTTTGGTACAGTATCATAGCATATCCACATTATATTAAAAAGACTATAAGAAAAATTCTCCCAATCCCATAGCTAACATTATATTCAATAGTGAAAGTTTGAAAGGTTTTCCTCCAAGATCAGAGAAAAGACAATGGTAAAGAAGTAAAAGATCTATACTCCGAAAACTACAGAACACTTATGAAAGAAACTGAAGAGGACACAAAGGAATGGAAAAGCATTCCATGCTCATGGATCAAAAGAACAAACATTGTTTAAAATGTCTATACCACTGGGGCACCTGGTGGTTCAGTTGGTTAAGCATCTGACTGTTGGTTTCAGCGCAGTCATTATCTCATGGGTCATGGGATAGAGCCCCACGTTCAGCTCCACAATCAGTGGGGAGTCTGCTTGAGATTCTCTCTCTCTGCCCCTCCCCCCGGGGGCACACACATGCGCACACACTCCCTCTCTCTCTCTCAAATAAATAAAATTTTTTTAAATGTCTATACTACCCAAAGCAATCTACACATTCAATGCAATCCCTATTTCACAGAGCTGGAACAAGCAATCCTAAAATTTGTATCGAACCATAAAAGACACCAAAAGCCAAAGCAATTCTGAAAAAGAAAAACAAAATTAGAGGAATCACGATTCCAGATCTCAAGCTATATTACAAAGCTGTGGTCATCAAGACAGTATGGTCCCAGCACAAAAACAGACACAGAGATCAATGGAACAGAATAGAGAACCCAGAAATGGACCCACAACTATATGGTCAACTAATCTTTGACAAAGCAGGAAGAATATCCAAAGGAAAAAAGAAAGTCTCTTCAACAAATGGTATTGGGAAAACTGTACAGCAACATGCAGAAGAATGAAATTAGACCACTTTCTTACACCATACACAAAAATAAATTCAAAATGGATGGAAGACCTCAATGTGAGATAGAAAATCATCAAAATCCTAAAAGATGACACAGGCAGCTTCTTTGACCGCCACTGCAGCAACTTCTTGCTAGACATGTCACCACAGGCAAGGGAAACAAAAGCAAGAACTATTGGGACTTCATCAAGATAAAAAAGGAAACAATCAACAAAACTAAAAGGCAGCCTACAGAATGGGAAAAGGTATTTGCAAATGACATATCTGATAAAGGGTTAATATCCAAAATCTATAAAGAACTTATCAAACTCAACACCCAAAAAAACAAATAACCTAGTTAAGAAATGGGCAGAAGACATGAATAGACACTTTTCCAAAGAAGACATCCAGATGGCTAACAGAAACATGAAAAGATGCTCAACATCACTCATCATCAGGGAAATACAAATCAAAACCATGATGAGATACCACCTCACACCTGTCAGAATGGCTAAAATCAACAACAAACAACACAAGAAAACAACAGGTGTTGGCAAGGATGTGAAGAGTGCCCAAATGTCCACTGACTGATGAATACATAAAGAAAATGTCATCTATATATATATATATATATACAATGGAGTATTATTCAACCATCAAAAAGTGAAAACTTGCCATTTGCAATGATGTGGATAGAGCTAGCGTATACTATGCTAAGTGAAATAAGTCAGAGAAAGATAAAAACCATATGATCTCAGTCATATGTGGAATTCAAGAAAGAAAATAGATGAACATGTGGGAAGGGGGGAAAGAAAAAAAGGAGAGATGGAAACAAGCCAAAAGAAATTCTTAACAACAGAGAACAAACTGAGGGTTGATGGAGGGATGTGGGTGGGGAAAGGGCTAGATGGGTGATGGGTATTAAGGTGGGCACTTGTTATGATGAGCACTGGGTGTTGTAAGTGATGAATCACCGAATTCTACTCCAGAAACCAATATTGCACTGTATGTTAACTATCTAAAATTTAACTTAAAAAAAAAAGAACATGAAGGAAAAATTTAAAAAGAGAAAAAAGAGAAAGAAAGAAAGATACTCCAATCCCACAGTTAACATTACATTCAGTAGTGAAAGGTTGAAAGGTTTTCCTCCAAGATCAGAAAAAAGACAATGGTACCCACTCTCAGCACTCCTATTCAACATAATACTGAAAGTCCTAGCTAGAGTAATTGGGCAAGAAAAAGAAATAAAAGGCAGAAGAATTAGAAAGGAAGAAGTAAAACTGGCTCTATTTGCCAATGACATGATTTTATATACCAAAAAAATCCTAGACTCTACAAAAAAATTGCTAGATATAATCAGTGAATTCAGTAACGTTACAGGATAAAAACAAAAATCAGCCGTGTTTCTAAACACTAACAATAAATTATGTGAAAAAGAAATAAAGAAGACAATCCCATATAAATCATATCAAAAATAAAATAGCATCAAAAACAATAAAATACTTAGGAATTAATTTAACCAAGGAGGTGAAAGAGCTCGACACTGAAAACTACAAAACACTGATGAAATAAATCAAAGGAGATGCAAATAAATGAAAAGATATCCCATGTTCATGAATTGGAAGAATATTGTTGAAATATCTATACTATCCAAAGCCATCTACAGATTCAGCACAATCCCTATCAAGAGTATAATGGCATTTTTTACAGAAAGAACAATCCTAAAATTTATTTAGAACCACAAAAGATCCCAAAAAGTCAAAGCAATTCTAAGAAAGAAGAACAAAGCAGGAGGTATCACACATCCTGATTTCAAGCTATACTGTAAAGCTGTAAGCTGACAAAAACACACACAGGGCAAAGGAACAGAATCAACAGCCCAAAAATAACCCCATGTATACACAGTCAACAAATATCTGACAATGGAGCCAAGAATACTCAATGGAGAAAAGACAGTCTCTTCAACATATGGTGCTTGAATAACTTGAAATTTACATGTAAAAAAATAAAACCAGACCCCTAGCTTACACCACTCATAAAAATTAACTCTAAATGGATTAAAGACTTAAACATAAGACCTGAAACCATAAAACTCCTAGAAGAAAACATAGGAAAAACACTCTTCAACATGTGTCTTGGCAATGATTTTTTTGGATATAATACCTAAAGGACAAGCAAAAATAAATGGGACTGGTTGAAGCTAAGGCAGCCATAACTGATAATGGCAGGGAGTTTCCTGGCCTCCAGTCTCCAGTGTGACGTAGTTTTCCCTTCGCCCAAATCTCACCGCTGCCCTGGGCAACAGTCAAGCCGTCTGGGAAGGTAAATCTGTAAGTAGGCCCGAAAAAGGACCAAAGGTGACCAGACATCCCAGGCTTGAGTCAAGAATGTTAAGTCATCTTGGTAATACTGGGTTGGATGCCTAACGTTGCCGGGAAAAAGACCAGGAGAACTCTCAGGAAAAAACTTAGCTGTATCCAACAATTCAGATATGGCGGAAGTGAAGTCAATGTTTCGGGAAGTTCTTCCAAAACAAGGGCAGTTGTCAGTGGAAGATATAACCACAATGGTGCTGTGTAAACCCAAACTTTTGCCCTTAAAATCTCTGACTCTGGAAAAACTGGAGAAAATGCAGCAAGCAGCCCAGGATACGATTCGCCAACAAGAAATGGCAGAAAAGGAACAACAGCAAATAACTCACTGAATGGTAACTTTGCAGTTCTACAGAATACCCTGTCTTACTATTAACAATAGCTAGACAATAACTTGCATCTGTATACTGAAGATGGTGTGTGTTAATAAAACTGATAGTGCTTATAAAATAAAAATACCCAAAACTAATGAAACCTGTGAATTTAGACACACTCTGGTTTATACTGAACATGAGCAATTAAAAAACTGAACCCAAATTTTATTGTTCTTTTTTACCCAAGTCTTTAGAACTATAAATTACTGTTTCACCATTCCTATTACTGTTAAGACTCACAGATAACATTCTTAGGCACAAGTGACTAAATGCAACTTTTATATTCAGATAATCTTTACATGTTTATTAAAAACTGAACTTGAAGGTACATTCTAATCTTGTACAAAGCGTTTTGGGGCTTTTACATTATTATCTAATTTTAAAACTTGTTTATGAATTTTGTGTTTCATATTTAAGGCTATTTTGCCTGACCAACTGGTCCTACCAGTAATGACAAGACTGTATTTCTCAAACAAATATGATTTTTAAGAAACCTTCACTTATCAAGTAGTCCCCTGAGCTTTTAATGATACTGACTTTAAGGACTAAAGAATTGCTGGGCTACCTTTATCATCCAGGTATCAAACACAATTAAAACCCTAAAAATAGAAAAAAATATGGACTTGAAGGAGCCCATGAGATAAATATGAACATTAAATTTGGGGTTTTAGTTCTAAGAGACTCCCTAAAACCTGTAATGGGCATATTCCTAAGAATATGTTTGTTAATCTGAATATAATTCTTGGCTGGTTGCTATAATCAATAATAGACTATTTAAATTAGCATAGGCCTTGCTAAGTAATTAGGCTCTGCAAAAGAGGTTAGAAATGTGATCATTCTTTAGAGAACTATTATTAAACTGATAAGAACAGAACTATTATTTATTGGTAGCTACTATTTCTCAGACACTGGATAAATGTAAAAACTTTTTGTGTCTCTGAAGAATAACTCTGTAACACAAACATTAGTTGGTAACAGAACTTAAGAATGATGAAACGTATTGTATTTTTAAAATATCACTGAGCTTTAGAGAAGATCAAAAAACAAGTATGTATGCATTTCCCACAGATAATATTAAAAGAATTTACTACTGTACTTTTAAGTTTGCAAAGAACAAAATTTAAATTCACTAGGTTCAAATATGCTCCCTTATAGGATTTAAAATTTGCTGTGTAAAATAAAAGTTTTTAAAAAGACCTAAATATATGTACTCCCAATAAAGAATCAACACTGCCTCACAAAAAAAAGTAAAGTAAAAAATAAAATAAAAAATAAAAAAATAAATGGGACTATGTCAAACTAAAAAGCTTCTGCACAGCAAAAACAAACCAAAAAAAGACCAACAAAATGAAAAGACAATCTACAGAATGGGATAAAATACTTGCATATCATAGATCTGATAAAGGATTAATATCCAAAATATATAAAGAACTCATTAGTAAATAATAATAATCCAATCGAAAAATGGGCAAAGGACATAAAAAGACATTTTTCCAAAGAAGATATACAAATGGCCAACACATGAAAAGATGCTCAACATCACTAATCATTAGGAAAATGCAAGTCAAAACCATCATGAGATAACAGCTCATGCCTGTCAGAATGGTCATCATCAAAAAGATGAGATAACAAATGCTGGCAAGGATGTGGAGGAAAAGGAACTTTTGTGTACTGTTGGTGGGGATGGAAACTGGCAAAGCCACTACGGAAAAACGTATGTTTAACATATGTTTTCAATTATCTTCAGCATATACCTAGGAGTGGAATGGCTGGGTCATAGGGTAACTCTATGTTTAACTTTTTGAGAAACCACCAAACTGTTTTCCAGAGTGACTATACCATTTTATATTCCTGCCACAACGTATGAGGGTTTCAATAATTCTTAACACTGTAAATGGGGTCCTGAGATATAAATGTTTGAGGACTGCTGGGCTGAGGGAATACTGAGATAAAAGACAGTCCCCTTCCTCAATGAGGCCATTATGTACCACAGTTCAGACTCAGATTCAAAAATTACCTCTTAGAGCTTCTGAGATACAGTGCAGGTTAACAGCTTTCCTGCCCCCCAGCCCACCCCCAAGCATGGAGCAGTTCTCTGCCACTGTTGACTGTGGTTCTAACATCATTAATTGTCCCACCACTCGATTCTATTCTCTCATCTCTCCTTTACTTTGGTCCTTAATGTTTCTTTTTCTCCTAGTGTTTCTGCTGTGCTCCTTAGCTTTCCATAAAAGACTGACTTCTATATATATATTAACAGCAAGCAAATAGGGCACTTGATTTTTCTGCCCTTATTAAACTCCTCTTCATGCACCTGTCATAGTCTGAGAACTTGTTTCTTTACCTTCAAACACAATTTCCCTCAACTACTTGTAACTTTCAGTGGTGCTCCAGAATTCCTAGGGTATATTCTCCTTAACTGAAGTTTTGCAATATTTGTTACATTTGTGAAGCAGCAAAAATTAAGGCCTAACTATACCTAAACCAAGTGTCAAGATGATTTTTGGAGAGAGTAGCTTCCCCTGAATTTCACTACCCCACCAAAATTTAAATAATATCTCTCGATATTTAGAACACTGAAAAAGTGACCTTAGGAGCATAACCACAGAATTAGGAATGTGCTTTACAGTAAACACAACCCCAAAGCAAATTCTCCTTATATAAATTTTAACTGGAATTAAAGTATAAAACAAAATTGCATCATAATGACCCCTAAAGATGTCCATGTCGTAATACCAGAACTTAGGAATATATTACCTTTCATGGCAGTATGGAATAAAGTCACTAATCAGCAAACTTTAAAAGAGGGAGAGTATTCTACACATTACAGATGGGTCCAATGTAATGACCATGATCCTTGAAAATGAAAAGGAAGGCAGAAGAGGAAATCAGAGTGGTGAAATGTGAAAAAGGACTCAACCCACTGTGGCTGGATTTAAAGATGGGGAAGGGGCATTAGAGCCAAGAAAAGTGAGCAACTTCTAGAAGCAGGAAAAGGCAAGGATGTGGATTCTCCCCTAGAGCTTCTAAAAAGAAACATGGCCCTACTGCAGGATGACTTTTGCACACTGAGACCCAGAGGAGACTCCCAAGCTACAGCACTGTGAAGTAACAAATTTGTGTTGGTATAGGTCACTAAATTTGTGGTAATTTGTTATAGCAGCAACAGAAAACTAATGTAGTTTAAATCCCTGTTTTTATAATTACTGTTTCCTAGTAATTATATACTTTTAAGATTCCCACCCTCCCTGACTTCAATCCCCTACTCCCCAGCCTATTCCATAAGAAGCACTGATCTGTCCACTCTTCCCCTTGAGCTTTTTAACTTCCTTTCTTACAGTTTGAACCCTTATTCTTAAGCCCTTTTTTCTGTCAATTGACAAGTATCAGAGTACCTGCTTAGTACCACTTCCTAACAAGTGGTGACATGCTTTTGTCTCCTCTGAATCCTGTTTTTAACAATCCAAATTTCTTCCAAAGAAATTACAATGAAATTTCAAGGTGGCAATGACCACTTCTACCCCTTTTGTCAGCATTATCTTTGGCATTTTACCCATTTTCCAGACACATACCTCTAGTAGGCTATGAAAATAAATTGTTTCAGAATGCATGTATGACAAGCCACAAAACAGTTTGCCAAGATCAGAGTTGCAGCACCACTCAAAAGTATACCTTCAATTGGCTCAATTATGAAAGAGTACCTGTAACTGCAAAACATGTCAACATAATCTCTTGGTTTGAAAGTGTCATTTGTCACTGGTCTCTATGTCATAAGACATATTTATAGCACTAAAAATTAATGTGTACTCATTTATCACAAAGATAGATTACAGAAAAAACTCCCTGTGACTGGCTATGGAGGTCAACAGAGTGAGTACTCTTTTAAAATGTTTATATTGGTTTGTCGAATTCTCATAGAGCAAGCTTCTTTTCCTGTTTCTGTTAGAAGATATCTGTATTCCTACTGAGAAACTAAAGGATCAGCTACCCAGGAACAATGCCAAATGCATTAAAAATTAATAAGAAGAAAAATTAACCCCATGGTAATACTCCATCTCTGGTTTCATAAGCGTTATAGTATGTATACTTCACACAGCTGCCCTACTAAAACTTCAAAGCCTCAGCATTTGTTCTGAAAAGGGCCAAAAAATAAATCATTCAATATGCCCAGAGTTCTATAAGCAGAAGGACTTTAACTGGTAAACTTTAATTGTATAAGCTGTGCTCCTTGCTATAAATATTATGAACATCTAATTATGTGCTATTTCTAACTAGCTGTCAATCAAAAAAATGTACAAAATGGCACCATCAACCACACATTTACTACTTTCTTAGAATAAGTATTTCCCCCTACTCAATCACCATGAGAAAAATGAAACTGCTATTTGCATGGGGCACTTCAGAAAACAAATCAATATAGTCATAAAGAGGCATTCACTTCCTCTTTACTATACACATTTCAACACTGGAATGAAAGTACAAAGTAGAATACACCAGACTTTCATTCAATGTAACGGGGGGAGGACACTAATCCACTCTGCTCTACCCTTCATCATCTATCCAGATATTCAATCAAACATTGTTGTGAAGCAAGGAATCCATTATTAACAACTATAATGAGGTTTATTGAGCACTTACTTATTACATGCCAGGCCTAGGCCCCACCTCCCTAAGAAACAGGTTTCAGAATCCTCACTTTGTCAATTCACAAAATGATAGGATGTAACCACTCCAAACCATATCCAGTGAGAAACAGAGCCAGGATTCAAACTCAAGTTGGCCCAACTCAGGCATGTCCACTGACATCAATGTTTTCTTATTACATTTTACCATATTTAAGATTACTCCTGGGCTTGAAAATCCTTCCAATGTATAACCCAGCAGAGAAAATAAAAGTAACTTTAAGCAGTGTGTTTCAGTTCTCTATGAGATGATATACACAGTTACTAGCACATAATGAAACACAAAGGAGGAAGGCGGAGCAGGAAAGGGTAATTCCTGGCGAAAGCAGGAGCCAATGTGAGCAAGGGCACGTCAGCACACAAGCCAGGGATGGTTCACAGAATGATGAATGGAACAGAGTCTGTGAAGGCACAGAATCAACTCAAACTACCCCATGCACATTGCTAACAAGTGAAATGCCTCTTCCGCCTGACAGATAAA